TAAATAGAAAACAAGTTTTCATGGAGTGGCGCGATTTATGGCAAGATAAGAATTTATTTACTACCCGAAAATGAGTATCCAAAAAAATGAACACCCCAACACGAAAATAATATCCACTGTAACTTTGCCAATTGTTTATTTCAATAATTTATATTAGACATTAAAGCTGCGGCAATTTTCTTGTTTAGTAACGTGGGGATAATCACTCTTTTCTTATACCCCTGCCGAACGTACTACGGCTTTAAAGGTAATTTTCTCGGAGAGGTTGCCAAAATAATTTTTCTGGTAAACAGTAAGTGTGACTTCTACATAAGAGGTTATGTTTTTTTCCCTACAATAACAGAAAATCGTCATATTTTCGGTGAACGAAGAAAAAAATGCATATGGGCCTTGGAAAAAGTATGGCATCATCTCCTGAGTATTTGCCAAATAGCACGTCTCAGTGAAAACTTTTAATTCTGTATTCATTCGTTTATAGGGTAGCTTATAAATAGTACTGACGACATGGCACTTCTTGAATACCAACAAAATCTTCACCAGAATAGAATATGAAAAAAATATGGTTGATGTACACGAATAACGAGGTTTCTTAATTCCTGTCAGAGTTACAGCTGGTATTAGTTTTTGACCATCCTCGGATCTCAGCTCTTAGTCTAGAATGCTTTCTTCGTCTCTCTGTCACCTCTTATAAATCATTTTCTCTCTCTTCTCTCTTCCTTGATATTTTTAGAGCATTTTTTGCTGTTAGAGTTTCCAGATAATGAAATGATTTGCCTACAAACATCCAGTTTTGCTATACGACATGCCTAGTTTTAAGAGTCGTCTACTTAATCATATTTACTCTCGTGATTATCAGCTTCACAACTCTTATGCAACTAGTTATACTGTTCATGCAAATCGAACTTTTTAAGTCTTATGTTTATTTTTTTTTTGCATAACTCACTAAACTATATTGTTAGATTTCTGAGAATTTTAAAAACTGTTTCTTTGCCTTAAAAATGAAGATTATCACTATAAATTTTGTCACTTCTACTCAATAGTTATGAATATTTAATTTCAGATTTCATACATGCTTATCTTATCTCTTTATTATTACAGCGGCTTCTAACGCTCAATTCAGTATAAATATTAGCCAATAGATATAGTGTAAATAATTTAGTTTCTAGTAAAACTGCTGGTATTTAATTATACATAATTAACTTATGTAATGTCTTCTACCGATAATGTTATGAATTAGATACGTTTCACCAAGCAAAAAACCAACATCTATTATGCTCTGAGCTCCAGTAATCGCTTTTACCATACATATATGCCTATTTTATAAATGCTATTTAAAAATGCTAAGACTATCAAAAGCTTCATTTCCTTCGTAATTTCTAAAAAGAATCAAACGATTCACGTACAGCAAATGTTTGGCTTGACCGTAACGATACAGTTATTAACTTAATGCTGTTGTTAACTGAATCTTACTAATATATAAAGCAAAGTCGCTATAACCGTTGTAATCGCTAACCGCGAAAACTACAGAACCAATTTTGCTAAAATTTTCCACACTGATTCATGATACTTCCTAGATGGTTTTAGTATAGTTTTTATCTTAAAAAATGTAATAAAAATAGCAATAAATGAGCTCAAAGTTTTGCAAAAATACGCCAGCTTTTCACTTTAGTTTAGTAAAATCCGCTAAGTGGCGTCGACATAAAATCGAGGCTACCTGCAACAGAATTAAATAAGTGTGGTGATAATACGCCAGAGCGTATAGAAATCTGATGCAGTCTTACTTCAACAGTTCAACGAGCTGCATAGAGAATATAGATGATAGTCTTGCAGCTGGATAATCCAGTTACGGACGACACTCTTCTCTAAGGGGGAAGGGACCTAGGTGTGCATTCACCCGGAATCTCGACGAGTGCGACAAAAAAAAAATTCATTCCAACCGATGACGTCTCTGGCATAATACCAGGAGACATACTTAGCCAGAGCACAATCTGCACCAACTCTTCAGAGTTGTGTGGCAATCCCACCATCCCGCCTGGTGCAGTTAGAGAATTTTTGGCTACACGTGTATGCCAGGGAAAACAGCTCTGAGGGGCACGGGCCGCCACAACGGCTACTTTCTCGGTCGTCACGTCCCCAACGCGCTTGCCGAAATTTTCCCGTCTAACGATGAGCGTTTGGTTATCCGGGGAACGACCCAAAGACGAGATATTCTTTGGTCAGCGGCGTACCTCCCTCCACCACAGTCTCCGTACATCGAGACTCCCAGCATAAGAATCAAGCTACCCGTAGCTAGCTCTTCATCATCAGGAATAATAATAAAGAATAGCCTGGATGTTTCACCACTGGCGCTTTTTAGGGCAACTATAAGTATTTACGTTCCCTACTTAACCATCAATCTCATCGGTTCTTCTTAGGGGCCACCTAAGTGTAAACTACCTTGCCAACAAATACATTTTTACTACCATTTCCGGAAGCGATTCGTCGACTAAAAGACTATATTAACTAAAGACAGGCACTATTAAACCAAGTCAGCCATTCACTGGCAGACGTCACCTGCGGAGTTGTTCTTCGCAAGGCTGGAAAACCCGGTGACCGACGACCCTATATTACCCTCTTGACTCTAAGGATTCAACCAGGAATCACTGATCCTCTCCAAGGTTTGCGCTGGGCAAACCTATAACAGCTATAAAGGAAAAAAAACTTGAGCCAACGGGACAGCCTCCACTGGACAAGTATCACTAACCAATCTCCCCATCTAAGATCACCAAAACAACTGAATCTGCAAATAAAAAAGGTGCCTTAGACACCAACGTCTTCGACGTTATACCGGGAGACGTTGGAAAAGAGCACTACAACTAGCCCCAAAGCTTCGGACTTTCTAATTTTTCTCCCGATCAGTCTGGGTTTTCAACAGCAGGCCAGAGAAGATCACCCTGAGGTATCGAGGCAGTCACAATTGCTGTTAACTGCAGTCAAGAAAGAGTTAATTTAATAAGCTCACCGGTCTTTTTTAGGGCCATCGGACGTCAAACTACCTTGCCAACAAATATATTAGAACTTAACAAAGTTGACAGAAAACAGCTTTTAGGGGTCACCAAAATTTTAAGCATGCCAAAAGTCGCAAGAGGGTGAATTGGAAGAAAAACTTCAAGTACATCTAATAAATACAATTTCACTTAGGCGTCAAGAAACTGACGCAGAGAATTTATCGAGATTGGAACAGCAGTGTCAAAATCGACAAATAAAGAATCCATTACGTGAGAGATCAGCTTTTCATTGTACCCTCACAGCAATCTCTGAAATCTTTAAAGATCCTACTTCAAATTTTTAAATAAGTAGAAAATGTATTTGTGTTTTTGTGGCAATAAAAAATGTAGGGTTTAAGGTCCAGGACTTTGTTGCTCTGGTAATAAAGTTGTGAGATAAGAGAAAAAAAATTTTTTTTTAATATGAATTTTTTGGGAGTTTAAAATCTTAACAGCTTTAAAAAATAGCCCTTTTCGTGAATTATACGGGAGAAACTGCAAATCAACGGCTCCTCATGGCCACTGATTATGTTATGGCATAAAGAACGCACGGTACTTTTCAGCATAATTATATTTTTTGAATTTTTACACCTTATTATTTGACCAAATAAACTATGTGGATTCTGTAAAAATATGTTTTTAATAAGAAGATTTTAGTTCTGAGAGGTGTCAGAAATATATGTAAAATTTCTAACTGAAAACGTTTCACATTACATGTTAACACACTACGGTGTTTTATTTAGTAAGTCTTGGGCGAAGCTGAGACGGGGGGCTGCTAGTGTTGAATATTTAGCCTACCCAATTTCTAGTCGAACGTTACAAAAAATTGTCTATTGTTGTAGTTATAAGTTTGATACAAAACTTTGTATACAAATGCGCATGAATCTAAATTTTTACGAATAGGCTGTAACTGTTGCGAGGATAATCAATTGTCAATCAAAATTTAGATCGCACCAAGTATGAGAGCATCTAGAAATATATTAACGTTTACTTTTATTCATAAATAGTCTTGAAATTTTAACGCACTGAAGTCTCTCCTTTCTAGCACAGTCCTACAAGCTCGTTTCAATCATTTGAATGTCACAATTTTTAAACCTGCAAATAATTAGAGACTCACTGTAAAATAGGCAGTGAATTTTTTTAGTGAGTATATAACAAACATCGGTTTTCGTAATTCTAGAAAAAAAAACGTAACCTAGGTAAAAGAGTTTTTTTAAATATTGTCAAAAATCAATCTAATTACAAACATGAACCACTTAATTTTAACGGATTCTTCGTAAGAGTTGATGATTTCTACGACCAGTAAAGTAAAAGTACCGGTACTCGAACATCCCATGTTAATTCAATTGAAGAGAGGTTATGTTAGCTGCCTTCTTCTGATTTCCATTTTTATCATGTATTGCAAATAACCAAATCGAAATATTTCTTTCTAATTTTATTTGTAACATATTATAAAAACTGTAACGAGTGGCTTGATATACAATTATTATTGATTAACAGTGATTTCAATCGTTTTTATGTTTTTGAGTACTGGGCATAGGTAAAACCTAATGGTACTAGTACCTGAATAGTCTCACAAGCCACCTCATACAAGTTACAGGAATAAATAATTTTTTTCTCGTTGAGTATATAAAGGCTTATTAAAATATAAATTTTGTTTTATCTAAAGAACGATCAAAGGATATCAGAAACAAATTTTTTTTTTATCCACTTAAATTGAAAATAGTTTATTTAAGCTGTTCAATTTACTAATACAATTTTAGGAAGTATTCACGTACTGGTACTTTTACCTTAGAGTATTTTTAAAAAACTGGTGAAAAAAGATTTTTCAACTTCAGTAATAATTATAAGTTCGAAGTAAACTTATTTTTAATAAAAAAATTTTTTTTTAAATTTATTAGAATTTCTATTAAATGCACTATTACAGAAACTACAAAAGATCCAATCATTTTCAAACCAATTTTGTTATTCCAGAAAATCAAATTGATAAAGCTAGAACGTTTGGTGTCAAAAGGATTCAATTTCTGCTAATGCCACTGGTGTTTAAAATGGGTGTAATGATGACGATGCTGGTGATCGTAACAGTCATGTCCTTGAAAGGCCTTGTCATAGGTAAGTGTGCATGTAACTTTTTACTCTTTCTCTTTCATGTGATACCCAAAGAAAAAAAACGTACATAACGGTAGAATACTGAACTATACGCCTTTTTACTTCTTTAGACGCTATTTGCATGTTTAACACAAGTATGACTGCTGACTTACTTCCTTTGCTTACATTACTTATACTGATCAGTAATTTTTCCACGTTATAAGCTCATGAATTACTTAGCTTTTTAAGTCACGCGATTCTCCTTCCACAATGGCCACTTTGACCAAGCAAGAACGGCAGTTTCCAAAAAAATGTCTTGCAATTGATAGTGTGGATCCCCATTGTGTGATTTACCGCTGTAGAAAGAGATAAGTAGGAAGCAAGAAACTGCTGTACAACGAGCTGACATAAGCTGCTTTAAAAAAAAATATTTTCCTACGACGACTCAACTTCTGCATTTATTTCTTTCTTTTACTATCTGAAACATTATAAATCATTTAAACAACGCAGCACATTCTATCAAATTTTGATATTTTTTTTAAGTTATATTTTGGATGGTATGTTATACTTGTTGTTTTGTTTATATTTACTTAGCAATTAGAATTTTTTACAACCTCTCATTACTACTACAGTTGACTAAAATATTTGAAATTAAGTTTTACTGCTAAATATTTCTTGACCAAGTAATCAAACACTATTACTTACAGTTTTACTATGTGAGAACAATGAAAAAACAAGTATAAAAATTTCTCGGTTACTCAACTTTGCTGAACTTTGTTATATAATTTATGCGACAACGTTTACATAGTTAAAAACACTAAAATGGACTTACATCGGTCATTTTATAGAAAATGTGATATTCTATGAAGCCTATGTTTAATAACGACAGATTAAATTATTTCAAGTCGGAATTTTTTTTTAACGATGTAAATCCATTTTTTCAAAAATGTAATTACCGTAACGCGAAGCATTTAAAAGTTTAATTTTGTGGATTCTAGTTCCTAGACGTTGATTTTTTAATTTATTTACGATGTACTATCTAAAAGTTGGAGGTGTAGAGCACCTTATCTGATAGTTGAGAACCGAATAAAAAAATTTTATTTCCTAGTATGGGACATTTTATTCAGGAAGCCTATTTTTGACACTTTTGAATTATGCACTGCAAATAATTCAATTAGGCCAAGTGATTGATTTTTAGATACTTAAATTGAACAATTTCGTAATCCAGAGTATACGATAGCACTGTCAATTTGTTGGCAGCTCCAAATTTTAATGTGGCTATTTATAGTATCGTCACGAATACAGAACATTTTTCCCAGTGAAATAAGCAGTCATTACCGTAACGCCCATAATCTCGGAGGGCTTTGAAATCATCGATTAGATTACTATAGTGTACAAAAGAGTACAAAATGCAGATGTGATAAACGAAATTTCTTTGAAAAATTGTATTTTGGGGCTTCACTACCGCAAAAAAAGTACTAATATGGTAACAACAGGTGTGTCACTACTGTAACGCTCTTTTTAAATTTTTAAAAAAGTTCATTCAAATTAACATAGGTTTTTAATAAATGATCGTAGAGTTAAGCCCAAAATCCACAAATAGTTTGGACCTTGTATAACAAAAAAATAATTTAAATATTTTAAGCATGTAATTAAAAAAATCTCAATTAGGGCGTGAAAATATCACAGTTTTGATGAAATGACCCACATATTTTTTCACATGTGTATTAATGTTTTGCACACTCTAATGTTACTATCATACTTTCTATAAATTATAAAATTTTCTACTGATACAAAATATTTTCTATAAAAAGGCAATGACAAAAGCTATATTACTTTAATAATTACATCAACAGGTATAATATTGCTGGTGTTGAAGCTCAGCACAATATTAGGTAAGCTGTTTGCTGGTCTCCATGGCCAAGAAGGCTACGGACATTCATCTGTTAGCTGCATGCAACCGCAGTTCGTCCATGTGCACCTGCACAACAGCGGGCTACCAGTGTACAGCGGCTGGGAGACTGCTTCTTTTGGGGACAGGTCACCTCCCGATGACAGCTACTATCACAGAGGTTGATGATCCTTTGACTGGACAGATAAATCCGTATGCCGTTATAAAAGCTAAAATCAAACATAAAATTTTGGCACTAGTTGCTTGGATATTTTTGTGACAATATGCAATATGTAAACAGTGTCTTATTATATTAACTTATTTTTGTTTACTACGTTTTGCAGAGCTTAGTACATGAGAGTAACAGGTGTGCTGGTGGCTAGTTATTAATTTGTTAGCTTATAATTTGTCAATACATTGAAAATTTACGTGTAAGAGAAACTCCACACAATTGTAGGTATTTGTGAAAGAATTTTTCACCAAAATTTTAAATTTGTGTATTTTAGGACTACAACATTTTGAAACCAAATCTACATAATTGTTTTTTTTTCCTGACGAGAAAAAAAAAAAAATTCTATTTTCTGTTACATAACTCAAAAATACTATTAATAATGTTGAATAGTTGAATTTTTCTCTTATCCACTTAACACTTATCCATTTGACCCATGACCTGATTATTTACATATTTCCAAATATTGTGAAGTTGCAAGAGCAAATATTCCTTTATCCAAGAAAAAAACAGTTAATTGAAGCTTTACTGACAAATTTTAACATCAATTTTTAGATCAACGTGCATTCATGTTTTGACTATCTCTCCTCAAACTTCAAGATTACAATGTTGCGCTAAATGTGGAATTATTTATAATGTCGGTAAGCTATTGTTGATACAATTACTAATAATTTTTTTTCTCATTTCTTCAAAATTTCTCATTGAAAGTAGCAAAAGTCTATTTCCGAGTAGAAAATATCTCCGTCTGCCGTAAGGTAATATACGGCCCGTGTACCGCAACCGGACTGAAATTGGTCTGGTCCGTGTATCGCATGAGCTCAGGCGGGTATACCCGCCGTGTACGGCTCCCATATGTCCGTTAACCGTATAGCCTGTCCGTACATGGACCGTGTACCCAATACCGTAATGTTATGTTGTGGTATACAGCATACAAAATAAGGTTATAGTATATTTTGCGTTGCTCCAAAAGTTATGTGTTAACTAATTATCATATATAAAGCACATTATTTTTTCAATAATGACAGACGAAAAAAGAAAACGTTACTTATACTGCAAAAATCTAAACGCCCAATACGCAAGAAAAAATAAACGTGTTAAATATGGTGAAACTGTTGTGTACATTAGCAAAGATCAAATAGAAGGAGAGAAAAGATCAAATGAAAATTTAGAAGAAAATCAAGATGACAGTATGAAACATAATGAGGTAATTTTTGAATTATTCAATGAAAATGTGGAACAAGTAAGAAAAAGATGTAAGGAGAAATATTTGTGTGAAAATGATAATTCAAAAGAAAGTGGTATAAAATCTGTTGATAAAAACAGTGAAAATTCTTTAATTGCTGGAGGGCTGAAAAACTACCTAAAAAAGTTCAAGCCTCCTCATTGGCATATTGATTATGTGAAAATGTATAGCGTTATACTCATTAATAAAAAAACTACTTTATCTTAATTATTTATGACCTCATTTAATCAAATAAAATAATGGAAGATAGGAACAATGGCGTGTCCGTATACAGTGTACAGTCCATATACGGGCAGTATCCGTCTGCCGAACGTACGGGCGCCGTGCACGGCGTGTATACCCACCTGAGCTCATGCCGTAATTGGTCCGTATATGGTTCCGTATACGGACCGTACATGGCATCTCTGGCAGCGTACACGGACCGTATACCCGCCAGAGATAAATTTCTACTTGGGCTGCTACTGCTACTGCTGTAACATGGCTAAAGCTGCTATACCCTAACAAAAGGGCCTGAAGGGTGAAGGCAGGTGAAGGTCCCGAAAACAGACAGTTAAGGTAGTTGTTTTCTAAATCAAAAGTATCTAAAAAGGTACGAAATTTTCAGCAAAACTAATATAAGCATCGAGAAATATGTGTAAAAAATTTGAGACCGATTTATCACGTCATTATTGAAATATCCTTGTCAAAGAATCACTCTTTTAACATTGGAGCAATGGTGCAAACACTACATAGCCCCATTATTTACAAAGTGCAACTTATTACATATCTTTAAATAATGTTGAAAAACTACTATAAATTTTTAACTACACATAAATTTTTTTGAGAGTTTTTTACCACATAGTTTGAAAACAATAATAATTAAAAAAGTGCTCTTTTCGTTTGATTTTGGAAGATAACTAAGTAATATCGAGTATGCGGCAACGTCGTATTGTCACATGAATACAAGTAAGTAGAGGTATATGTTTATGTATGTATGTATGTATACGCAAAGGCATTCATATTTTACTCTGATATTTTGAATACGGGATGACATATGAAATCTTTTAAATATATTTTTGCGTAGAAATAGAAGCTCATATAATCATAAAATTTTAGACAAAAGTGATATTTCAACACACTATGAGTCAGTGCACTACTCTGCTACCTTACGGTCCTCCGCGAGGCAAGTTTGCAGTTTTAACTTTTACTTAAACGATCGACTGGGTGTTTTGAGTAAGCCTCTGCTACCGTACGGTCCTCCACGAATGTGGTTCAACTTTTGCTTCGGACACCTCACGTTGGTTCTTCGTGTGTACGTCTTTAATATTCCGAATAAAAGTAAGTTTGTTTAAGAGATATTAGCTTTCTTACTTTTCTCCTTCCCAACGGGGATATGACTTCTAGGATTCTAGGGCATGCACTGTTACTCGTAATGGTAGCCTCTAGACTATTAGAAGGGATGGATGACAAGCAGTTTTTCTGCGTAAGCTTGAGGGCATGCACTATTACTCGAGATGGTAGTGATAGCTTCGAAGCTGGTTGCGAATTAAAATACACTTTGTTATCGGCGTAAACTCTAGAGCATACACCATACTACTCGTGACTGTAGTGGTAGCCTCTAGATCGCGGAACAAAGAATCCTTTACTCTCTACTAGAGTGTATATATATATATCACCGCTCCAGTTAGTGGTGATACGCTCTCGCCACGTCGTGAGTAGTTGAGCATAATTCTTGAGTGTGCAGCGCTAGTCACCACAAAAGACACTCTGAACGGTCAAAACTTGATTTCCATTCCAAATTCAGATTTGCGTTTTTGAATTTTCAAATATCGAAAAATAAATATTTTTGCTAGTATGCCTGATGTATTTTGGCTTAATTCAGTCATATGCAAGAAAATTTTTCTTATTCTTAAAATTTAGCAGAGCTGTTAAGAGTGTGATATCGGCTACAGGCACTTCCTAATTTTTACAGTAGATAGCACGCAGCGTTGAGCGTTCTCAGTGTCTAAGATTGTGGAGCGCTTATTCCCCGCCTGGCTTGGGTGTAAGACTCCCCTCTGTCACTTCCTCCTAGGCAACTTTGTGGTGTTTTTTATATGACCTAATCATAAAGATGTCATATTAGCATAGGCAAATGGTATCATGCCTTTTACCGTGGCATCCAAATTTGCAGATAATAGTAAAAAACAACGATGACTCAAATGAGGGGGGTAAAGGTGGAAATGGATAGCTGTCTCGTAGTAAAATCGTCCAATAAATGATTAATAATACAAATAATAAAGTATATGTAGATAACCGAAGTTATGTATGTACATATGCACCCACTACCCAGACATTTAAACCAAGTTAGACAAGACGTGGTGTTGCTGAGGAAGGATAGTTGCTCAGCGGCAAATTAAAAAAATTTTGAATACATCAATACCTTCTTTTCCTAACCTTGAATTTCGTCCGTCTTAAACGTGAACACCTTAATTTTAGTATCTGAATCAAGATTTTTAATGAACAAATAAACTACCAGCAATAAATTGTATTATTTTTTTGGAAGCAATAATAAGTTATTACTCGTACCGTTTTTAAAGTCTTCGTAAATAAATTAACTTGAAAAAATTTTTATTTTTATGATAAGTACAAATTATATGTAGATAGTAAATAATAGATGATTCAAAGAGAATTCAAATTTTATATCTTAACAATTAGATCCTTTTGAGTATCTAGTTAGTTAACGAAACCTATCAAAAAAGTAACTTTTTCATTGGAAAAAAGTATTGCCACTCAACTGTACCGTTTCTGATAATTAATGAGGCCCACATTTGGCAACATAATTTTGAGATCAAGGAGAAAAATATGATGACAGACGATTGAAACATAACATTATTTTTCATTCTTTTTAACCGTGTTTCATGAGTCAAAAATGCAATAAAGAAATTTATTAATTTATATAATATAAAAAATAGCAGATCGTTTAACTGTACCCTTTTTTACATGTTTAGTTAAAAAAATAAAGAATTTAACACGTAACCTTCTATAAAAATCACTTAAAATTTCATTTATAAGATCTGTATGAATCTACCAATTGTTGTCTGTATAAAAGATTACTATTAGAAAAACCTGTTTCATTTTTAAATAGATTTATAATTTTTGTTTTTTCTCTTAATAACACAAAAAAAGGGGTTAAGTACGTGTAAAAGCATGCATGTGAGTATATCCACACGAGAAAAATAATTTCCACTGTTGCTGCATAAATTTGTGCTCCCCCCAACTCCCTGAATTTTGAGCTAAACTTTTACCTTACTATGTGATAAACGTCCTTAAGGACGATCTCCGGGTATAGTAGTTTTCGTAAGAATTTGCTAAAATTGAAATATGTGTGAAATGAAAGTGTTATTTACACGTGTGCAAAATTTCAACAGGTGTTTCCTTACTAAATTGCGAACTATTCAGTTTTACAAATTGTCGATTTAACAGTGCATTATATCTACAGCTATAATCTTGGCGAAAAAAACGCACACTTTCGAGCATAGCTTAACGAATTTTCGCAGTATTTTCCCCAAAAAGTTTTATGTAATAAACAAATTCCTAAGGAAAAAAATAAGTACAAGTCTTATAGGCCTTACCATATTAATTATTTAGTAACAATAATTTTAATAACACCTCATCTGGCCTCCACCAAGAGACGCAGACGCCCCAAGCAACTTGACAACAATGCAACATCCTGTTACTTACAGAGTACCGAACAGTCAGACGACGGTCACGAAAAAAAGCCTAACTCAAATTTGACCAAGTAAACTGTCATAGTTTAATACGCTTTAGCATTTCTAATTGCTTCTTTTTTCTTCACAAATCTACCGTTTTTTAAATTTCTTACTTTACTCGGCATTTCTGTTGTCGTATACATAACCTGATTGTAAATGTAAACACAAGCAGAAAGTTTCTATACTCGCCTCGCAGCACCTAACCCTAATGGCCAGAGTATATATATATATATATATAGTATAGTAAGATCGGTGGCGATATGTTGCAGTGTCGCCAAGTTTCTTATGTGTCTGCGCATCGTCTGCTCATGCAACGAAA